GCAGCCACATCCTCTCCCAGAATGCACAGGGGCAGAGGAGGAGATGTCCTCTTCCTCCTGAAATCAATGACCATCTCTCTGGTCTTGGCCACATTCAGAAGCAGATGATTTCCTCCAGTCCACTCAACAAAATCACCCACCAGCGCTCTGTACTCCTCCTCCCGTCCATCCCTTATACACCCTACCACAGCAGAGTCATCCGAACACTTCTGCAGGTGGCATGACTCTGAGTTGTATAGAAAGTCAGAGGTGTATAAGGTGAACAGGAAAGGAGACAGCACAGTCCCCTGTGGGGCTCCTGTACTACCAACCACCACATCAGACAGCACACTGCCCAGCCGGACGTACTGTGGTCTGTCCGTGAGGTAGTTGGTAATCCAGGAGATGGTGGACGAGTTTACCCTCATAGCCTGCAGCTTGTCACTCAGTAGCCGAGGCTGGATCGTGTTGAATGCACTGGAGAAATCAAAAAAGGTGATTCTCACAGTGCAACCCGATCCATTCAGGTATGAGTGAGCACGCTGCAGCAGGTAAATAATGGCATCGTCCACCCCCAGGTGAGGCTGGTAGGCAAATTGCAGAGGGTCAAGGAATGATCTCACCTGCGGTCTGAGGCCCCGCTCACACGGGACCGTTTGCGTTTATGCACAGTATGCGTATTCAAAAAAGTCTTCCGTTCACATGCATTTGTTTCATTTAACGTGTCTGTTCAAACGAGGCCGCTGGAAACGCTGTAGTACATATGCTGGGACTGTAAGTGGCGCTGTAACTTCCGCCAAAATACACCAAAAGCCGCGAAGAAGAGCAACCCGAGCAGCCCCGCTGCAATGTTGCCATGGCTACCCTTCTGTTTAAGCCCCGAAACTGAAACTGAAAGAAACTGAAAGAAACCGAATCTGTGGATATTAGAGATGGCAAATCCGGATCATTTTACGGACTCAGGGTCTTCTGAGTCAGTCATTGAAGAGATCCGGATCATACGAGTCATTTGAGTCATATGAGTCAGCATCACCAAGACCGTAGAAATCCTATCGGTGAAACCGAAAAGTTGTTGCATTTCACGAGCATATTATTATTCCATATATTTTGAATATATATATATATTTGTATATATATATATATATATATATATATATATATAATATCTGCATGTATATTTTCTATTTCGACATGTATATTTTATATTTTATTTTTATTTCTATTCTTGTATATTTTGTAGTTTTGTTTTATTGTAAAATGCCTTTTATGCTGCTGTAACAACAACAATTTCCCAATTTGGGATCAATAAAGTACTATCTATCTATCTATCTATTAAACTGACGTTATATTAACCTCCGCTACACAGTGTATTTTGCTTTAATAAAAAATGTTGATCACAAAAAAAAGGGTTATTTTGCGATTTGGCAGATTTGCGAATCCGAGTCTGCTGTGGACTCGTGCATGACGGACGAGTCTGCTGGATCTCTGGATCTGCTGCTATATGGTTACGGCTCCGAGTCCGCACGAGTCTGATCCGCTGTGTGTTGCAGCGAGTCAGGATTTGCGAATCTGCGAATCTGCGAATCTGCTGTTGGAGCCGTCGGCTCCTCTGAGTCCCCACGAGTCTGCAGGAAGTTTCACTGATCCGCGTCCCCTCCCCTGAGCCAAACGATCACTTCTGGCAGCTATCCTGTGACTGTATACTTGCTAAAGGGTAGGTAGATGGACTTGGGGTACGTTGTAATGTGATTTTACATGTTATAAAGAGAGTAGCGAGTGACGCAATTTATAGTTTTAATTTGTACGTCACACCAAGTGTGGGACTCAAGGACTTGGGTTAATGGAGAGGGGAGACTCGTCACGACCAGCTCATTTCTAGGATCCGGGTTAATGATCCGGATGAATCAGGACTCGCCCATCTCTAGTGGATATTGCATCCCGACCAAGAAGCACGTCTCCGTGGAGAGGACGGCTCAGAAAGAGAGAGATATTCTCTACAAACACCGGGTGAGATCCTCCTTTGTCAATATAATGGATCAATGCATGAAATCTGACTCTGTTTATTTTGTTTAAGAAGTATATTGGGCGTTAACAATTCTGGTTTGCCTTTTATAATATTATTTCATTCAAGAACCCCTTGTGCGTTTAATTAACACAGCTATTTTTGATAGTTGCTACAGCAGTGAGCAGGAGAGGTGGGGCTATCGCTATTTTTTCAGGAAATATTCGTATAGAGGTGATTACACGGACTCGGTTGACCCCCCAGAGCGTTTCGTTTGCAAATCTATCCACCTTGGGACCCGTTATCGTTTGTGGGGTCAGTTTCTATCGGCCTCGTGTAAATAATAGGGCTATACGTACGCGAAACTATGCAGATACAAGCAGTTTTCTCCTCGTGTAAACGGCGCCTGAGATGGGCCAAGACCAGTCTCTCAAGCACCTTCATCACATGAGATGTGAGTGCTACAGGGCAATAGTCATTGAGCCCAGAAGGAGTTGTCTTTTTAGGGACCGGAACAACGCAGGACGTCTTCCACAGCACCGGGATGGTCTCCAGGTGCAGGCTGAGGTTGAACAGATGTTGGAGAACAGGAGACAGCTGGCGGGCACAGGTCCTCAGGACCCTGGGGCTGATACCATCAGGGCCAGCAGCCTTGCCTTGGTGGAGTTTTTCCATCTGTCTCTGGACCTGTCCAGTGCTCACAGTGAAGCGGGGGGGGGCTTGATGGCAGGGGGGGATAGAGGGGGGGGGGGGTCTGAGGCAAGATGAGCAGAGGGGGGGGGGGTCAGCGGCAATGTGAGCAGAGGGGGGGTGCAGAAGCCAGTCTGGGTGGTGGAGGAGAGGTGTGAAGTGGAGGTGGTGAGCAGAGGGGGGATGCTGACGCCAGGCTGAGAGGAGGAGGTGAGAAGTGGAGGTGGAGGAGACAGCAGCGGGCGGAGAGCTAAACCTATTGAAGAAGGTGTTCAGCTCGTTGGCCCTCTCCAGGGTGCCCACAGTCAGTCTGTCTCTCCCTTTGAAGCCAGTGATAGTGATAGGATCAACCTCACCACACCACAGTCCCCTCCCCTTGCCATGCCTGCAAATTATTCTTTACAATTGTAATAGATTTGAGCCCAGAATCAACTTAAGATAAACAACAACGAACTGATCTGGATGGAGTGATAGCTTTCATGGGTGAGACACTACAGCACAAAGGACAGGAGAAGTTCATCTCTGAGTTTCATACTGTTGCACTTCTCAGTCTATTGTGTGAATGTGGAATGTTGAGGTTGATCAGACCTTGCTAAGAACATTTTCTTTTCTTTCAAAGAATAAAATCAAGTTGCATCTTCCTATACCAACTATGGCTCAAATACTTGCTCTTAGGTTTCTGTCTGAAACATGCTCTCGTGAACTCATTAAATGTTCAGTGTCAGGGGTTCAATGAGGTTCGCGTCGGGCCGAACCACGCCCCTTAGCTGTGATATACTGAGCATATACCACGGCCTGTCGTGAGCTATTGCTTAAAGGAAACTTATCATGCTATATTTAAATGATATATTGTAGGGCCATACCTATATAAGGTATATTTATACGTTTCTGTTTTCAAAATACCAAACAGATCATGCATTTTAGCCATGCCTCATTTCGCTGTGCTGTTTGCTGTCTACGGGTCTGATTCTGCTGACCACGCCCCCCTGCAGGAGAGGGGAGACGTGCTCTGATCAGCTGCTGGGCTGTCAGAAGAGGGGGAGAAAAAGAGATCTCCGTCCTCCGTGTTTTATTATATAGAGTCGTTATTCATTTGTTTTAAAGCTCAATAAATAACAAAGAAGACCTTTGACCGGCACTTTTCTAATTTTGTCCGGAAGATTTAAACTTTAACGGACATCTTGACCGGCGAAAGAAACTGAAACTGAAACTCTGCCGCACGGTCCACTCGTTCCTTGGAAGAGGCGGAGAGGTGGGTGTTTGTCATCTGCTGGTGGACTAACCGGAGAGAATTACAGTGCTTGCCTTGACGGGGAGGGATTGCATTAAAGCAGCGGGAGCAAACGCTTGCCTCGGGGAGGGAGAAAAAAAGCCACAGTGGAGAATAAACAGAAGGGTAACCATGGTTACCATATGCGCGGGAAGTCTTCTTCGCTGCTTTTGTGGCAGACTACAGCGCCACTTACAGGCCTGGCATATGTACTACAGCGTCTCCAGCGCTTTCGAGCGGCAATGGCCGGCCGTGGCCCAACCCCACATTCCCCTGATAGGTGGAGAGTTGGCCCAATAGCCGTAGCGCCACCGTCCTGACGTCAGGACAGTGTTCAAATCTGGATCAGTTTTTATCAGATCCGTTGCAGCCCCTTTTTTAGAGATTTGGGTATGGAGGAAAATAGAGAGGGTTGTGTTTTCTGACACTTGGTGAGTTCCCTGGAACACCGGGGACACATATTCATGTATAAAAGACGTACAAAAGTGCATTTTGCATGATAGGTCCCCTTTAAATAGCGTCCTTCGGATATTTGAGGACAAAACTGTGTTCATATTTTTATGATGAGAGAACATCAATCATTTTTGCTTAAACCCCCTAAGAATTGTTTAAGTAATACACTTAGTCAGGTTGGCTATGAGCAAAATACAGGATAGATAAAACTACACAACAGTCCAACTCCTACACACTGCATTATTGGGTGTAGTTTACAGACATTTTGATGATGTGTTATTGGTCATTGTCAAAGAAACTCACGATAACAACACATTTCATACAGAAACATGTGGAGTTGTTCAGAGCTCAACTCACTTCCCTGATACTCTTATAGCTTGGTTGAATGGTGGATGTGAGGTGTTTCAGATATAAACGTTGTTATCTTTGGGAGGCATTCAGAGCTTCTCTCACCTCGGCCTCGGCCTTGTTGGCGGTGCCGAGCAGCGCCTCCAGCTCGCGGTGCATCGACTCCTCGTGCTGCGCCCTCAGCTTCTCCTGAAACTCCGTCATCACTCCTCCGGTCAGGTCTGAAAACACACAGGTTAGGATTTTAATTTGACATTAGAGGCAAAAACCCTGAGAAGAATTCTGCATCTGAAGTCATGCAAAAACGGCTAAGAGACAAACATGTTTCCACTTTAAAGTGCATTTTGCATGATAGGTCCCCTTTAAGTAAGACAGTATTTAATAATAATAATAATGGGTTCCATTTATAAAGCACTTCATATTTGATTTCAAATCCCGAAGTGCTACAAGCAGTGAGCATGAACAGTATAAATAAACATTACACAACACGGTAGAATTAATAAAAAGCAATAAAAAAAAAACCCAAACAATAGAAATAAAATAAAATAAAAGGGTGGTAAGAAGGTCTAGGCAAAGGCTCTTTTGAAGAGATGGGTTTTGAGGCCTTTTTTAAAAGCCTGACAGCAACTTCAAATGATGACTTTGTTGGCTTTAAATGAAGAGATGCAAGGCGGTGCTGTCCAGTTCAAACACACACTGTGTTTCGTATTAACTGATAGGAAAACAGACACAATATTGGTACAAATATCACGGCAGAAAATTGGTGTTTACTTATTGAACAGGTGACCTTGAACAGCTTCAAATCAGTTAAAGTAAATAGTGCAGTCCAGGTTTTGTTTACTTTGTCTGCAGTAAAAGCGTTTTATTTTCTACAAACTTAAAGGTGTACGTGTTCCTCTCTTTACATTTACTCCCAATAAACGTTAGCGATATCTTCCGTACTTATTAGTTTATTAGATTCATTTTAAGCATTTGACTAAAAGTGCGATACACAATCACAGTTCCACTAAAATACAACAATTTAAAATAATACATCTAATACTTAATGACGGTTTTTGAAAGTGTAGGTGATGTGAACTTAAACACAAAATGATTCCATATAGATGTAATGTTTGTTATTATATTAAATCACATTTTAAAACCAATAAAGCTGCCATTTGGAAAGTTGACCTCAGTGTGTGTCTGACATCAAATCAAGGACTATGTCCTTCGTATTTAGAGGACAATACCGTTTTTCAATCCTTTATGATGAATTTTACGAGACACCAACATAAGCATTTGGTTCTTTAACCCCTTAAGTGTTGTTAACGTAACACATGAAGTTACACTGGCTCGGAGAAAACCAGAACGTTAGTTATTGAAGGACAAAAGTGTAATCTCACACACTAAACAGTCCCATCCCAACAGCCTGCAAATCAACTCACCCTCTACAGTTAGAGACATTTGACCAGAGTCTTTTTAAAAGCAGACACAGTAAAGATAAGATCTGAGGAAAGGAAGCAGCGGGAACGTTTCGGAGCAGATTCACTCAGAGTCCATGAGTTTGATAGAAAGTGAAGAATGGTCCCAAAGAGAAAGCAGCTGCCAGAGAACAACAGACGTCCTCCTCTTCCTCAGCCCAGAGGAAAAGCTCTCAGATCTGAAGCCCCGACCCCCGACTAAACACAAGGCCTGCCCACACACACACATACCAATCAAAACAGACAACAGACAATGTGTGTGTGTGTGTGTGTGTGTGTGTATGTGTGTGTGCCTGTGTGTGTGTGTATGTGTGTGTGTGTGTGTGTGTGTGTGTGTGTGTGTGTGTGTGTGTGTGTGTGTGTGTGTGTGTGTGTGTGTGTGTAGTCGACCCCCAGTTTAGGCGAGTTTGAAAACAATAAGAGCTGATGGTCAATCAAGACTATTCAACATCTGAGCTTGCCCTCTGCAATTATACATTTCTGAACATATATATATGTGTTTTTTCTTTCTTAATATAAGGTATTTAAAAAAGAATAGTTTTTATATCAGCTCCAAAAGTCAGAAATCATATTGTTAATACAAGTAATTGAAGTGTCACCATTAAAGAACATTTGACTTTTGTTGACAAATGTTGACTATCCACTGCGTGTATTGTCCACAGTATGGATGTATTACATGTCTAATATGTAATATGTAATGTACAACGCTTTGAGCCCTAGGAGAAGCGCTAAAATAAATGCAATTAAATTAATTATCTTAGTAAAATAAGCTTCCCTAAAATCCCCTCCAAAGTACTAAATACTAAAGCACGTATTCTTAGTAAAATATATTTGTGTTAAGTTTACCTGACTTTAACAAACTCATATTTTGATTTTTTCACATGCTGTTCTGTGTGTGTGTGTGTGTGTGTGTGTGTGTGTGTGTGTGTGTGTGTGTGTGTGTGTGTGTCTTTGTTATCAGTAAAAATAGTTGAGACGCTTCTTTTGAAACATCTTAAAAATGTGCCTTGAAACTCAGAAAGTGAATTTTCACATGAAGATAACAGCAGCTCGTGAATTATACACAATATTTCTTCCACTTCTCCGATCAACGTATCACTAGTCTAGCATTTGACAACAAGAAAGTTAATTTTGTATTTATTATTGCAAAATATCTCAAACATACAATTATTTCCCACAAACTATTCCTGTATTTCCTGCATGTCTTAGGGCTAAAAAGTCCAATATTTGTTAATTCTCACTAACCATCTGTGTATTTATATTTATTAATGAAAGAAATGTGAGATTTTCTGTTTTTATTGATCTTTTCCACAGTTTTTGTCATCGGTGCACTTACATATTGCTGTATGTGTTGTTGATGTCAATAAGTAAGGTTGTAATGGTGACCTCTTATACCCTGACATTTAAACCAGGTGTGTAAAAGGTCAACTCAATACTTATTTTGTGTCTTTTAAAATGTTTAAAGTCATATAAGTGTAAATATAATGCTCTTTTAGTGTATCAACAAAAAAAATGAGCAAGAGTTGAGTTAACTGTCTTTTATTTCACTTTAAATTATCACATTGTAGACTGTATAAGGAAGATATAATGTACTTCTCTAAATAAACATGAATGTTACTTTAATACATATTTTGACATTGTCACTTTACCCTTAAACACTTTTACCTGATGGTGTATTACCTATTTACATCCATACAAATATGTATTTATAACTTCTGTATTCTGCATTAACATTTAATACATTACTTTGTATTCACTTTGCAACCACTGCAGTCTACAAAGGTGGTGCATTTGTATAGTCACACACACACACACACACACACACACACACACACACACACACACACACACACACACACACACACACACACACACACACACACACACACACACACACACACACACACACACACACACACACACACACACACACACACACACACACGGCAGAAGCAGATGCATGCCACAGCAGCAGACAGTTCACATAATGTTTTAAAAGCTGTGAATGTTAATTGGATTTCCCTTAAAGCTGCACACCACACCTGTTTCTGACACACTTTCCTTGCAGCAACTGGTCTGTCTCAAAGATATTAACGTTACCCACCTGTCAAAGTACCGGGAAATCCTCAAAAACAAAGCCGAGGAACACACGGACAACCTCGGCCAGAGACAGACTATCTCCCAGAGTACTGCTCAGACCCGGAGGACTCGGTTTTACAGATAAAAGGTGAAATTAAAAGGTTAAAAGTCAGTGTTTATCTTCCTGCTGCCGTTAGCTTCTGACAGCCAGCCCAGGACACACACCGCCTGACGCAAGTGACGTGACGCGCGTGAGTATTAAAAACAAGCCAGTTGATTGGTCGAAAAGGGCCGTCAATCAGAGGAACTCCCAAACAAGTCCCGCCTCTCCATGATGGTTTATTTTTACTACAATTAATTAATAATTTCCCTTCAATAAAATGAAGACTTAGTTAAATGTTTTTAAATATATGTTTTAATGTACTATTTCTCATTTTAAAGTCAGTGTTATTTTGTAAATTTGTTGTTTTTTATTTTAATTGCATCCCATTTTAACTCAATTATTCCACCATTTGTATTAATTTAACTGATTTAACTGTACACTACTTTAATAAAACTTCTTCAGTTTGCACCTGCTTGCACAGCAATATTAAATAATAATAATATTCCTACATTTTAATTGTCCTTTTTTAATTAATATGTTATTGTCATATTGCCAGATAGGGAGAGAATATACATGTTCTGAAAACCCAGACATTAGAGATAGCTTAAAAAATAATCAATCAATAATTAAAAAAAGGTTTCTATTTATGTGCAGTTTGGATCGATGCTGCCTTCATGTGGCGAAAGCTATTTACTGCAGGACCTGGTGGTCTTACAAAAAGGTATGGTCGTAGAAGAGCAACTGCTCCAGTTTTGAAGTAACCCCTCCGTGTTGAACACCCGTCAATAACATTAAAATAAAAGCTGGAGACTGACATGTCAATCTCTTTAAAAGGTCACCTATTATGTATTTTCTACATCAACATGTGTCCCCTCTTCTTCATGTCTCTTCTACATCAGCATGTGTCCCCTCTTCTTCATGTCTCTTCTACATCAACATGTGTCCCCTCTTCTTCATGTCTCTTCTACATCAACATGTGTCCCCTCTTCTTCATGTCTCTTCTACATCAACATGTGTCCCCTCTTCTTCATGTCTCTTCTACATCACCATGTGTCCCCTCTTCTTCATGTCTCTTCTACATCAACATGTGTCCCCTCTTCTTCATGTCTCTTCTACATCAACATGTGTCCCCCTCTTCTTCATGTCTCTTCTACATCAACATGTGTCCCCTCTTCTTCATGTCTCTTCTTCATCAACATGTGTCCCCTCTTCTTCATGTCTCTTCTACATCAACATGTGTCCCCTCTTCTTCATGTCTCTTCTACATCAACATGTGTCCCCTCTTCTTCATGTCTCTTCTACATCAACATGTGTCTCCTCTTCTTCATGTCTCTTCTTCATCAACATGTGTCCCCTCTGTGTAAAGAGACTCTGAAAGTTTCAGGAACAAAGATTCTCTCTCTTTTTGTCCTGATCCATTTCTATAAAAACCTGTCTGAAAATGAGCTGATCAGATTTTGGCCACTTTATGATGTCATAACGATGTTTTGGCTTGTGTAACCATTAGCCAATCAGCAACCAAGGTAACCCCCCCCCCCCCCTTATCACCTGAATCTCCTCCTAGAGCACCATTGTGTTCTTTGTAACCAAATCTCTCTCAGAGGGGCGTGGGGAGGGGCTCCTTATTTTCATCTAAAGTAACAGACAGAGAATCAGCACTTTGGAAACAGGGCTGAAACAGAGGGGATTATGGGATGCTGCAATGATCTGTTTGGTGTTTCAGCCAATCAGAGACAGGCTCTGTATATATCTGAGACCTGTAATATATTGATGAAAAAAAGAGTATAGTAGGGGACGTTTAAAGTATTTGATTAAATGTCCTGTATTTGTTTCATTGACAGACGAGGGAACAGGAGAATGCAGCAGAGGACGGAGACAGTGTGAGGTTTAAAGCAAACGCACAGTGGAAGAACGAGGAGAGAGACGGAGAGGAAAGCAGAACGACTCTCTGATCTGAAAACAGCTGATTCACTCTGAACAGTCTGCAGAGCGACACCGACATCACGACTGATATTTAAATATATTTTAAAGCAAGTCACTTTGTGTTAAAGATTAGAAACATTACAGGCCGTCTGCTTCCTAAATATTTAGACTTTTCGAGCAGTTTCAAATACACCTTGGTCCAAAGGCTGCTAATTGACGCTATAATTGATAAGTGGATGTTTGATACAGTGATCTCCATACTGAGCAAGTCCATGAAATGCTGCTGAAAGCTCTGGAAAAAGATAGTTAATTGATACATTTTTAGATCTTACATTTATTATTGTAATGACGGACCAGATTAAATGACAGTCAGCTTTTTAAAGTGTCAAAAATGTACCTGAAGTTCTTCCAGTGGCGCTCTCCAGACTCCAGACACATTAGCATCATCCTGCAATGATGATACGCTGTACACGTCAACCCCGCATTCATCCCAAGAAACTCAGCTCTCAGGATTGTCCTCCTGGCCCAACGTTTTTGTGGTCCCTAAATTCAATTATGAGGCTGAATTTGAGAGTTTGAGATAAATGGAACACACTTCAGCCCTGGCCCAAAGCTGAAAGGAGACATCCTTGATGGCCTAGCCCAAGAAATTATGAAATACACAAAATACCCAAAGGACTTTCAGTGTGAAGAGGTAGCTGCAGCTTTGACAAGGGCCCATCCTTGTTTGGGGCAGTTAGGATCCCAGACAGGATTTGGGGGATGGAAACAGTCAATGAAGTATAAGATACAAAACTATCGAACAAAGCTCGGGCGACTTGGACATCCTGAAATCCGTGTGAACTCCTTGAAGCACAAACGAGAAAGCAAAGGCAAAGCTGCAGCCAACATCAAGAAACCAAGAAAGGCTGAAGTTAATTACATTCCTCTGCACCCAAAAGGCGAAACCTCAGAAACGCTGGAGAACGAGAGAATTGCTTTATTGTCAGAACTGAAAAAGCGTGACAATGAAGTTGTGATAAAGGCGAAAATGGAAAAAACCTTCTCCCAAAGACGATTGGAAATCG